GGGCTGCGAGGCGCGCATGAGCTCAGCTCCGCGCGACAGAAAGCTGCGCTCCTGCGCGGTTGTATGTGCATGATACACAGCTACACCAGCCTGCCCTTTGCTTGCCCCTGGGCTGCTCACCTGAAAGTCGCACGCTGCAGGGATGCAAATCTTGGGACGCGGCGTCCGCCGCCCCTCAACCCTGTTGACCATCGGTGTTACAGGCAGGGAAGGCCTCCACGCTCTGCTTGTTGCGACACCCCAAAACCTGCACCCTGCTGATTGCCCCAACCTACGACCTGCGTCCCGTCCGCAGGCAAGAAGCGCATGCTGCGGGACAGCCGGGACACCCTCTATATGGCCGCACCATTCCTAGCGTGGGGGGTGGCGGTGTCCGTCATCTACGGCATCACAATCGACCGCCTCAGCAAAGTGAGCTATTCATCCATGCGATCGACAAGTGCATGCAATCCCGACGGCAGCTGCCTTGTTGACTACGCTGCAAGACTGATGCCTGCGTGGCTATGAGCTTGGCCACGTCTACAAATTTGTCACTGCCTCGGCCGGTGCACTGTAACGGCGCGTTTGCACTCGGGTGTACGCGACTGCCACCGCACGACGGATGGGCGGCGCCACGCCTTGCACAAGAGGTGGCTCGCCGTTATACATGCAGGGCGCTGTGCGCTAGCCCTACCTGCTTATGCTCTTTGCCCTCTCCGGCCCAGGCTGCAGAGCTGGCTCCATGCTGGCTGTAGTGCACTCCCATCCAGCCAACCAGCCACCCCGCATCCATCCAATTCCAGGTCAGCAGCCCTTTCCGCATGCTCAACATGATCAACTTCCTCGTCTTCCGGTGGGTCACGCACGGGTGACGCTTAGGTGACGCACCAATGACGTTCGAGTGACACAGCACGCAGCTCCCACAAATATTGGGTTCAACAAAGCCTGAGAGGCCACTGCCTCTCAGTGGCCCTATTGTGATGCTCTGTGATCATCCGCACCCAAGCATCCCCAATCCACCCCGCTTAGTTCTCCGCATCCCTCATATCGGGCGCCCTGATCAAACTGCTCACCCCCCTCTCCCGCCCGCTCCCCACACGTGCCTCCCAGGATAACCCGGGGAGTGGTGTTTACCCTGGAGTTGGTGCTGGCAGAGGGGGCAGAGGCCAAGGTGGGTGGCAATTGATAGGCAAGGGTTCCAGGCTCTCCCTTGCGGGCGCCCTTCCCGGCTGCTATCCATGCAGGCGTATTGCTCGTGGCGCAGCAAGCAAGGCACGCCTTGCATCAGAGGGGCAACGGAGTCAAGTCCGGGAGAATGCCGCGGGGGGGGG